ATCTTCTGATGTGCTTGGTTTTTTGTTTCTTGTGCTTTTTATCTTAAAATTATAGATTTTTGGAAAGTTGCAAAGATACTACAGAAAGATCTGTGTGCTCTTCAGTTTCCTCCAAATGGTTACATTTTATGTAACTATATGGAATATCAAACCAAAAAATTGTCAGTTTACCACATGCATAGGTTCATGTAACCAGAACCATGATCAAGATACAGAACTATTCCATCACCATGAAGATCTTCATGCTACCCCTTATAGTTATAGTCACACCCATGCCCTCACCCCCCACAATCCTTAACCCATAGCAACCAGTAATCTGTTTTCCATCTCTATAATTTTGTCATTTTGAAAATGTTTTATATATATACATATAAAATTATACAGTATGTGACCTTTTTTCATGGTTATTTTTTATTGAATCAGTATATTTGCATAATTATTTGTAGAATTGGTCTGAGCTAATGCTTAGTTTTTTTGTTTGTTTTGTTTTGTTTTTGTTTCAGAGAATGCTGCCTCTGCCAAGTAACTGGTGTCCTAGCACTTTGAAATCATTTTGGTTAAATTTTAGGGATTGACATCTTAACAAACTGATGTGTGCTCCCTATGAGGGTCTATCTAACTTCTGGCTCATACTGCTAGCCAGCATGCAACCTTTCAGGATTCCAACCCAGAGTTTAAGGAATGGAACAGATTCACTACAATTCTTTTCTTTGGTAGGCCCAGGACCCTAACTCCCCCCTCTCCTTAGTTCCTTAGCCTCTCAACTCTTCCCTCTATAATTATCTAACGTCTCCAAGTAAAAGGAAGCTCCAAGCTCCTGACTTGCCTCTCTGAGCCTCTCTCCTTCTCTAGATTCTGGCCCAGTAATTTTTCTCTGTCTTGTTAAATTTGCATGTCTTTAAGCACATGATTTTTATACATTTTGTCTAGCTTTTCTAGACTGCTGAGGATGGATCTAAATCACCTAGCTTCCTATTACTGGAAACGAATGTTTCCTGTAGTTATGTTTTCTTTGACCCATGCAGGTTTAAATTTGTTTTAAATTTAAATTTAAAATTTAAAATATTTTGAATTTTTGAATACAAATTGGAATATCTGACTTTTATTGATATCGGAATTCACTCAAGACAAAAATCAGGTAAAGCAGTTAGGGGATACTGCTCCTTTAGGAAGAAGCACTTGCTCTCAATTTGGCTGCAGTCTTCCCTGACCCCAACTGTCTGTATCCGGTGCTTTATTAATTTAAAAAACATGCCTGCCTGGCCACTGTAAGCATTCTTATTTAAAGGAAACTTTCAAATTTAATATTACTTTTTTTGTTCCTAGAATTTTGTTGGTAAATGAAATCATTACTCTAAATTTTGGTCATTTTTACTCTTCTCTGCCATCATTCAGAAATCCCAGCTTTGGAGCATAAAGTAAATCATATTCCTTGTATTATTGTCACTAAATGACTGAGTCTCTACATAGCCAATTTTAAAAACGTCTTTCTTACCTCCTTACAGCTTACCCTCTTCTAATAACTCTGAACCCACGAAGGATATTTACTTACACTCAGTTCTTATTGCTATTGCTGAAGAGAAAAAACTGGAAGGCATCCTCTCCGCAGTCATCATTATAAAAGACTGATTATTCCAAGTCTCTTCACTTGATTCAGTTGGTAAAATTACTTCTCAGAATCTATTTTTTCACTGATCAACTTAGTGTAATCATGATTGCTCCTCCCATACCTCACAGAGTATAAGCAAACAAAAAAAAGGTGACATTTTAAAAACTATGCAGGATCAGAATCGTTACTTAGACTTTAATATCACAGTGTCAATTGTTTTATAAGCACATATCGAGGAACCACTGTTGCCTACATATTTTGCTGTTTCATGCTCATGTGTTGCTTCAAAATTATAGGAAGAATATATTGGTTCTCAAGGAGCTTAAGTTTTACCTGGGAAGAGATACCACATAGAAAGCAGTATAAAATATAAATTAAATAATTCTATATATGTAAAATGGCTATATAAAGGGAAATGTATTATGCTACTAGAATGCCAATTAGAAGGGTAATAAGAAATTGGTGATGCTGAACAGGAAAGGCTCTTGAAAAAGGTTCTTGGGTCAGATTTGAGGAAAGTTTTAGACATGGACTTAGGGGAGAGAGAGATGAAGTTATTCCAGCAACTGATAGTTTTTGCAGAGCTTTTCTTTACAGGAGGTCAGTCTACATTTATTCTTTTTATGCAGAATTTTGAGTGAGATTTTGTAGTGTGTGGCACAGAGTTGATATTTTTTAATGGTCACTAATATGTAGACAGTCAAATATACTATATATAGAAATAGGACATGAGAGACAATCGTGTGGACAGATAATCTCTCCAGAATCAGTTCATTTTCCCTCACTCTATCCAATAGAAATATTTCACTTTCTGCAGAAGGTAATAAGACATTTAATATATGAATACTGACCTGAAGGAGCTTACAATTGCTGCTACAGGTTTAGGCACCAAAGTGAGGAGTTGAATAATATGCAGTAGTTATCTAGACATACAAGAAATGTCACAAGGCAGTGGCTGATGAGTATAAAAATACCAGGGCTGACAAGTCTTAGCAGAGTTCATAGGAGGCAGAATCTTTGGGGGTCTGGTTTTGAGGAAAAGGGATTCATGGAAGAGATGTAACTTAGAATCACCTCAGCAGGGAAACTGTAGAAGTCCTCTAATCCAACTGGATGAACCCTTTCCACGACATCACTAATAAATGGCTCTTTCTTTATCCTCTCAGTAATACCAAATTCACATTCATGAGATATCCTATTTCAAGTTCTTAGAATGTTATTCCTTATAATCAGCCCCAAATCCATCTCCTTATTAAGTGAGATAGTGCTATCCAAAGCTTCCCAGTCCCTGTGTCCATCATCCTCAGGTGCTCCATTGTATTATGATGTACTGGCTTATTTATTCCCTTGACCCTTCTAGCTGTCCTGCAGGGCCTGAAGTAGCCACAGCACCAGAACTAGGGTCATGAGAAACCTCTTATGTTTATCCCAGTGCAATAAATTTTGTCACCTCCTATGTATGCTCTGCTGTGAAGCATTGCTCAGTATAGCGTGGTGGTGAAAAGATCCAGGTTCTGGAATCAGACAGCCCAAGTTAGAATCTTGGCTCTGTCAGTTATTAGTTCTTATACCTTGGGATAGAAACTCCACTTTTTTGATCTTCAATTTCTACATTGCAAAATGGGTACAATAATACATGCTCCCTTATAGAATTGATGTAAGAATTAAAGATGAGAATGCATTAGGAATAATAAATGCTATTATTGTCATTGGTTCTGCTTTTACCACTTTTAAACATGATATATAATTCCTCTTCTTTTTTATAAACCTCAAATTATTTAAAGCTAATTTTTGTTTCCTCTAAGTCTCCTCTGACTAAATATCCCAAGTTCCTTCAGTGTCTTCCTGTCCAACGTGGGTTTAAGTTTCTTCAACTTCTCAGTTTCTCTCCTCTAGATACCTATGGTGTCCTTGTGTTCCCTTTTAAACATAAAGTACTAAAAACAGAATGCACCCCTGCAGGTATGGATTGATGAGACAGTCCTCGAAGGGTGGAAGGAATAGGGGATGGAAGGAAGGATATTCTCACTGGAGAACAGAGTAATAAGCAAAGGAGAAGAAAGCACAATACACATGGCATGCTTATCAACAAATGGGCCTAACTGGTTAAAAGGGAGTCATGGGAAAAAAGATCTTAAAGGGGTTGGATTGTGAAGTCCCTGGAACTACGATACTATGGATTCTATCAATATAAAGGAAAACCAACAAAGTCGTCATTATAGGAGATTTATCACTTGAAAGCCAGCAACCACAGAATTTATGTGAGCTACTCACAAGTAGCAAAAAGTTATAAATATTACAGCCCTTCTTTTGCTTCCCTTAGATGAAAACAATCAATAACCCTACAATAGTCCCAAAGGCGATGCTGAAAACTTGGAGATGATCCACAAACCACACATTCCCTTTGGCTGTTGGCTGCTGCAATCCACTATGGTTAGAAAGGTCAGTGACCCAAAGAAGTTACTTTGTTCTATCCTGGGAGTCATAACTCAGTAGCTTCACTTACAGCCTTCCTTTATTCCCAACCCTTTATTTTCTTGCTTTCTGGTCTTTCTTCCATTCACTCAATTTACATAATGCTTAGAATATTGTGGAGTTCATGACCCACCTCTGCTGAGGACTAGGTGTACAACTTTGAACAAATTACTCAGCTTCTTTGTAACTCAGTTTCCTCACCTATAAAAATGAGAATTTTTATAGGATTTAAAGATTAATTGTGAACATTAAATGAGTTAATGTATCTAAAGTGATTAGAAGACAACCTGGCAGTAATAAGTGTTATTTATGTTAACTGTTGTTATTTTGGGTCATTACTATTCATAATTCAACAGATACTAGACACTTGGCTAGGCACAGGGGATGCATAGACAAACAGGACAATCCCTCAACGGTCATATTTCTCCTGATTTTGTCGGCAAGGCAATGACTTTGGGAGCATATTCCTGAATAAACTTTATTAGCTACCACTTATTGTCTTTGTAACCTTGGACGAAACACTTAATTCCTCTGAGCCTCTTTCCTTAGCTGTAGGATGAAGATTAATAAAATCTACTTCGAAGATCTGTTCTATTAAATAAGACAAAATATGCATAGTGCCTGGCACAGTGTTGGAACTAAATATACACTCCTTCCCCCATAATCCTGTGGCCATACCTAAGGCTGGTGGACCCAACCCTGAGTTTAGGATCCAGCCATTTCCTCTAAAGTGCCAATCAGGAGTATGGACATATAGCACAACGTCTTCAGGAAGAGCAAAGCGTGGAGGAGTGAGAGAAAAACAAGGTGGGGGAGGCAGGGAGACCGCCCCTGGACTACATCTCCCGGGATGCTCAGCAAGAAGGAGGGCCACGCCCCACCCGGCCCCTCCCAACCGGCACAGCAGGCGCTGCCCACCCCGTGGAGCCCAGCGGCGCGCTGAGGCTACAAGTGCCACGGCTGGTAATCGGGGGACTTTCCCGAGGAGCGGCGCAGGAACAAGCGCGGTGCTCGAGCCGCACGTGGTGGTCAAGGCAGGGGTGAGTGCCGGTGAGCGGGACCGGGAGGAGGCGCTGGGGCGAGGGAGCGACCCCAGGAGCCTGGCGGAGCGGCGGAGTGCGTCCCCACTCCCTGCCCCAGGTGCTTGCCCTGCCTCGGGGTATTTGACGAACGCAGCCCGACTCCTTGAGGTTCACCCGGAATGGATGAATTGATCTCGCAGGGGGCACCGCTGCCCGGCGCTTGCTGCGCGCCCCCCCGCACAGCGCGCCCTGGACGGATCCCGAGGTCGCCTCCCCCAGACCAGCCTCACCCGTATTAGTTAGTTCCAATGCAGATATTAAGGCTCTTAGTCAATGGCAGACGGAGGAGGTATAGTGCTGTCCCCTCGCTTTGAGGTGCGATTTCATTAACCTCCCTCTTAACCAGAGAGACGAGAGGCAGGAGACGGAAGGAAAGAGCCTTTAGCTGGTCCCATGGGATTATCCATTCTCTATTGAGGATGGAAGCCCCGGATTATGGAGCTGCGAAGGGAATCGACTGTGTACCGAGTATATCTCCGATGGATCGAGCGGAGTCTGTCTTTAAAGAGAGAGAGAAGCAGGCGAAGGGAATTAAGTGGAGATTTCTTTCCCTCTTTGTTATAAATTGGAAGTCCCATAAGGAACCCTGCCGATTTTATCCAGAGTAGTCCAATGTGATGAGTTAATCGTGCCAAAAGTTAATCAGAGCACCTCATGTCTGAGGGAACTGCGAGACGATTTTTCATTTCAGGAATTGATCAAATCCGTATCACCACTTCCTTCATGGAGGGATCCGGCTGTAGGGATCTGTGTCCACTTGCTAAAGGAAAGTTCTGGTTCAATTGTATGTTTTTTGCACTTGCTTTGTTTTTCTGTTTTAGCTACAGAGAAACTTTGGTAACAGGAGAGAAGTAACAAAACAAACTTTAATGTAGAGCAGAAAATGTGTGGATTCCCTCTCCCATATTTTAAGTGAGTTGCTAGGTAGACCTTAGGTAAGCCTTACTCGTGGGTCTGTGTGGGTTACCAGCTGCTGGAGCTGTGGATTTTGAGCATAATAAGCCCCCGAACCATGGGTTAAATCAACTATTGCTGGGAATTTGGAAGCAAAATAAAAAGGGCCCTTGCTTGAAACTGCTGTATTTGGTGATAGTGAAAAGTGAGTTGTTATTCCTTGGTAGGATGGCAACAGGCAGAGAAAGGCGGGCAGACAGTTTTCTGTTCAACCCAAAGTTCTATCACAGAAAGGTCCCATGCTGCCATGGGGGTAAGGGCATGTCTGGATGCAAAGTTCCAAAGGTAATTTTGGAACTATGTTAATAGCTTCTTACCTATTTACCTCAACAGAACTGTGACTCTGTGAGTTTATAATTTGTCTTTTTCTGTCAGTTTACTTCTTTTATTTTTTTTAAAGATTTTATTTATTTAATCGACAGAGAGAGAGATGGCGAGAGAGGGAACACAAGCGGGGGAGTGGGAGAGGGAGAAGCAGGCTTCCCGCCAAGCAGGGAGCCTGACGCGGGGCTCGATCCCAGGACCCTGGGATCATGACCTGAGCCGAAGGCAGACGCTTAACGACTGAGCCATCCAGGCACCCCCTGTCAGTTCTCCTGGATGGTCAATTTCCCATGCATGTTTGTTAGCCAAGTGGACAGAAGGAGAGGGACTCAGACCCATTCAGACACAATGAGCAAGAGCAGCAGATCTGCACCTAGAACAGGTGTGTTTGGGGGAGGGGGGAGTGGAGTGGGCTGGCCCATGGTATTTGGCAGGGATCACACAGTAAGGCACGTTGTCTACATCCTTCTGGGTCTAGAACAAGCCGGCATCATGTAGCTGCAAGGGCTGAGAATGAAAGTACAATGAACAGGCATGGGGTCTTGTACATACAGGGCTGTGTGACTAAGGTCATTTGATGTAGGTGGCCAGCCATCTTTTACCTACTTCCGAGCTACTCAGTCAAAAGGCTGAGCTCTAGTGCCAGTCGAGCCCAGCTGATGGTGACATATTTGTTCATCCCTGGTAATGCTCTAAAGCTAATTTGTATTAGAATCTGTTCTCAACTAAAGATAGTGTAAACATAATTTAACTGAATAGTTGAGAGGTGTGTGCTTCCCCAGGTTTTCCAGAAAATCTCAGCTCTGCTAAAAAAGGTCCCTGTCTTTCTCATTTGTGTCTCTCTACAGGAAACTTGCCTTCTTATTTGAGGGATCCTGTCACAGAAATGTGCGAGTCCTTGGATAAATTTGGCTTGATGACGGCAATGCTTCCTTCAGAGACACTGCTACTTCCTCTGTGCTCCTTTTCTGCCCTGACCTAAGTTCCTCAGTGTCAGTCCCTCTGCTAAGTCAGAGGATTTGCCCATTTCACACTTTCCTGCCACTAGGTCTCCTCTCATTTCTTGTACCCCTTTTAGGAGGAACTGGGGCTGGAAGTGTAACAACTGTGGCTGAACAGGAGATGGGGACCCCAGGAGCGATACTCCTGGTGGTGCAGCCTTAGGTCCCATTGGGTTCTTACCTGTGTGGTTTTTGGCAGAATTTTCAGAAGCTGATGGGGGATGTCTGACTAGCTCCGATGGAGCTCCACTACCTTGAGAAGAGGAGCAGCCAGGCAGTCCTGTGTGATGCTGTGGACTGGCATTCAGGAGGGCTTCCTGGTGACCAGGCAGATGCGGCAGCCACCAAAGCTGCTCTCTGCTGCCAGAGACACTGTATGTCGATGCCAAGAGCAGCTGAGATGGAAGGGTCCAAACTTAGCCCTTCTCCAGCATCCCCCTCCTTCTCTCTGCAAGACACTGTCATTCAGACAGACTCCTTGCCACCAGGGCCTCTCAACTCAGGGAACAACCAAATACTGGCAGGACGGAAAGTCTGCAACTGCTGCAGCCAGGAATTAGAAACTTCTTTTACCTGTGTGGATGAGAATGTCAACTTAGAGCAAAGGAACCAGTGCTCCCCTCTAACAAAAGGGAGCAATCATCTGGGAGACCTTGGCTGGGGAAATCCAAATGAGTGGTCTCATGAGGCTGCCATATCCTTGATATCTGAAGATGAAGATGATGTAAGTTCGGAAGCCACATCTTCAGGGAAGTCAGTAGACTATGGGTTCATCAGTGCCATCTTGTTCTTGGTCACTGGCATCTTGCTGGTGATCATCTCCTACATTGTCCCACGAGAAGTGACTGTGGATCCCAACACCGTGGCGGCCCGGGAGATGGAACGCTTGGAGAGGGAGAGCGCAAGGTTGGGGGCTCACCTGGACCGCTGTGTGATTGCAGGACTCTGCCTGCTCACACTTGGGGGGGTCGTTTTGTCCTGTTTGCTAATGATGTCTATGTGGAAAGGGGAGCTATATCGTCGCAACAGGTTTGCCTCTTCCAAAGAGTCTGCAAAACTCTATGGTTCTTTCAACTTCAGGGTGAAGACCTGCCCTAATGAAAATACCCTGGAACTGTCCTTGGTAGAGGAAGATGCTCTTGATGGACAGAGTTAATTCTGGTTGTGAGCCTACTGAGAGTCTGCATTAGCATTTTATATGAAAACAAACAAACAACCCACATTTCTTAAAATTAACAGTGCAGTTTATTTGCTTGGCAAGAAAGGCTTATTTCCCAAACCAACAGCCAGTGAGTGTTTTTATTCTAGATGTATTTTTTATTTAGAAGAAAAGCTATGTAAGATGCATTAAGAAATTACAACCAGCTACATCTGTCCTTCTAAAGAACTGAGATTAATTCATCTATAATGGCCATCAGCTTCTACTTCACTTCTATAGCAAAATATTTCTAACAACCAATGTACAAATGATTTCTTTTACATGGTATGGGGAATTATTCTTTGGACATTAGTAGGTCCTACACACAGTAGGATCAATTAGGTACATATCTTGTGAAAAAGAACTTAAGCACTAATCACATATTAAAGCTTACATTTAATTCTCAAAGGTGCTTATCCATTCTCTTGCTAAATTTTTTCTTCTTCTGATTTGGCTGAACACTAAAATATAGGGTTTTGAATTTGAATATTTTGAAGCTTGAGGATGTTGATTATTTAAAAAAATGCAAAAACACATCTGTTATATTTAAAATTATTCCTGTGCTCAGAAGTGGTAACTAAGTCATTAGCATAAACTTTCTAGTAAAAGAAAAATAATATAAATCATTATAAGACCAATCTGAATTTAACCCAGAATGGTAGTGCCAGATATTAGCCAGTGTTGCATGCCCATTCTCTAGATGAAGTAAAATTAGTTGCTTATATAAATTTCATTTTCCATTTGTGCTTTAGCCATCAGACTGGCTACCTCGGCTCTAGAAGTCTTTCCTGGTTCTCACACCAGAGAGGCAAAGCATAAGACATTTTTAATATATTTCCAGACATATAAACCTCTAGGCAGGTCTAAGTCATGACTGGCTCAGACACACACCCAGGTGATGTTTTGTTGTTTGGAGAAATACAATTGCAATAGAATTGCAGCTAGACTCTTAGAGACTATGCCTAGAAGTTGGTTTCACTTCTCTAGGCCAAACAACAAGCCATTGCCCCAGTATGGCAGCAGTCCTTAAGCCCATAGCCAAAAAATTAGAAGAGTGACAGAGAGAAAGAGTAAACGCAGTGATTCAGTGGGAACTGTGCCCTCACCAAAACTTACCTCCCCCTAACAGTGGTCTAAGTATCATTCTTTTTTTAAAAAAATTCTTAAAAATTTTAAAAGGTTTTATTTATTTATTGGGAGGGGGGGCTCCATCCCAGGACCTTGAGATCATGACCTGAGCCGAAGGCAGATGCTTAACCAACTGAGCCACCCAGGCGCCCCATAAGTATCATTCTGAGTTCCTCATCCATGCCCTCAGTAACTGTGAAATCTTGCCTCATGACATTCAAACTTGCTTGATGAGAGGCATAATGAGCAAAGTGGTCACAGCTTTGCAAAACACAGACCCAGAGTCTATACTAACACCCTGTATCTGTACGGTTATGGTTCAGAAAGGGGTAGGAAATGCAGCCTCAGAAATAGCTTGCATTTTGCAATTAATCTTTGAGGTATTTCCATCCTCCCATGGTAAGAGTTGTTTTAACTTCCATCAGTGGGGTCTTTCTTAAAAGAGGACTGGAACTTGGAATTTGGGGTGGAAGGGCAGAGATGGGGAAGTGAGAACAAATTTCTTTATAGATTCTAAAGCCTAATTCCAATGCCTGAAGTTTTTGTAGTTTTTGAGGATTGTGGAAAATGTGGATGACTTTGGCTGGCAGAGTGTGTGAGTGAGGATATTTATGTGAATGAGTTCTTGTGGCTGTCAGAGTTACATCTGATGAGTTAGGTACACTGTGTTACTAAGGGTTAAGATGAAATGCAAAAAAGGTAGGATCAGAGGATAGTAAAAATAGAGAGGGCAGGCATATGAAAGAGTTATTAGGTAAAAATGAGAGATTATATGGACATCAGAGGAAGCTAGATATAGCTCAATTTGGAAATAATTGGGAGAATATAAAGGTGATTTTTGTTATCTGTTGCTAGTTCTTTTTGCTTTTTGAACAAAGTTTTTGTTTTACTGTGACTCTCCTGTCATGGTTTGTGTTGAAGCTGACTTACCAGCAGTATAAATTTCATTTTCTGAAGGTTTATGAATTGTCAGATTCTAGCCTCCTTAGGGACCCACTTTACATGAAGTTGAGGCAATAAGTTAGTGATATCCTTGGCTGGGCGAGTAGGTCTGAGCTGTGTGTCTTTTTTTTTTTTTTTTTTAAGATTTTATTCACTTGACGGAGAGAGAGAGAGAGCACAAGTGGGGGGAGTAGCAGGCAGAGGGAGAGGGAGAAGCAGGCTCCCTGCAAGAGCTGGGGAGTCCGATGTGGGACTCGATCCCAGGACCCCAGGATCATGACCTGAGCCGAAGGCAGTCGCCTAACCAACTGAGCCATTCAAGCGCCCGAGTTGTGTGTCTTTTTAAAAAATACATTAAAAAAAAAATTCACGCTTGTTCTTAGAAGCTAAGTGGGATCAGCTGAGTTTTGTTTTATTTATTGGTGAAACATGATTAATTAGCTAAATTGCAGACTAAACTAAATTAATGTGCAGCCTGATTTTCGGTTCATGAAGGAAGACAAATTTGAGAATCAAATGTTAGGAAGTTTTTCAATTCTGTAAAACTGGATAAAGGAGAAAAAAACCAAAGCTTTTCATTGGGAAACATTTAATGAATCTTACAGCACTACCAAATTACATATAGTTCTGATGTAATCTAAAGGATCTCTCTCTCTCTCTCTCTCTCTATATATATATATATATATACACACACACATAGATATATAGATAGGGATACATATATAGATATCCCATTATATCTATATATGTATCTGTATATATATCTATATATATACATATAGATATCGATAGGGATGCCAGATAGGGATACATATATATACTATCCATTATATCTATCTATGTATCCCAATTAAGAAAAGATATGCATGAGGAAAGACCTAACAAGTCAAAATATATTTCTTCCTTTCCTTCCTTAAAATTTTAAAATTGAAATATTGTAATTAATGCTTACTTATTTAAATCTGTTCATATACAGGACACATCTATTCATATATAGGACACATCTCTTTTTAAGGTTCTACTTATGTGGTGGCAGACCATTACTCCAAGAAGAACCAATTCAGAAAATCATCTGGGTGTCTCCTGTAGTGCTGTGTTGACCCAGTTCAGCTAACTGCCTTAATCAGCTTTCTTCCAGTATTCAGGTGTGTAGCTCTAGTCCATCCTATCAGTGCCTGAATTCAAGATGAGGATTACTTGAATTTAAAGTCACGGCAACAAAAAACCCTGAACTTTAGACTCTATTGTTTCCAACCTGATAAAGAGGTTTTTGTCTCTAAATGTCTTTATTTAGAAGTACTTAGGCAAGATCAGGTGATAAATGTTATAGACATTGAACCGATGATAGCTGTGGTGTTGCTGGTCTTGGATCCTTCATGGAGATTATGACCTTACATCTATCTCTTGAACATGGTGCTGGTTGTTGTTTATGAGAGTTTTTATTGCTAGACCTGGAACAACAACTTTTTTCAGAGGTCCATGTTAATTAACTTTTTATCAGGTTTCAAAAAACTAAACTGAGTCACTTTCCTAATCTTAAAAGAAAGTAGCTCATTGTTCAGCAGTGTGGTCCAGAGGGATGAGTACCAGAAAGAAAGCTGACTTTCTCCATACTACTGGGACCTACGTGCTGTTTATGGACAGTTTAATCCTCCTAATGACTTCAATAAACTGTTCCTTCTTAGAGCACCTTAAACTGTTTGTGATAGAGCTGTGCAAAGCTGAGGGTCCTTTCTAGCCATTTAGAGCTCCTGAAGCAGGCCACCTACTGACTCCCTCGTAGGAAGAATGTCTTTTCTCTAGGCTCCCCATTTAATAACTGATTTATAGTTTAGAGGAGTACAGGACTGCTTGGAACCATGGAATTCTTGGTGGCTCTGGTGCTTTTATCCATATGACTACTATGCCCCTTGGTTCTATACTTACTAGAGACTTGCCTGATATCAGAATCACATGCTTTGCTGTCTGCTTAATAATATATCTGAGTCCATCCCTCTCATACTTACTTGTTTCGGGGACCCAATTGGACCAATGCTGGCACATGTCCTTTGGGGTGCAAATGTAGACAAAGAGACTGCCCTACTAATTGTGCCTTCCCTTTGCCCCCCAGTGTAAGGATAGTGATCGAGTGAGCACTATGCCAGTTGAATATCAGGAATTAGGGTCTGAACCCAAGTGGCTCTACTCTTTGTTACTTCTTTGACTGGCAGAACTTCTAGGCAAGAGCATTTGAACATTTCAGCCTTCATCTTTAATATGTGCAATGACAGGCATATGCAAAAACCTTACCTGGATTAATCATCTAAAGTTAAAGAAAAAAATGTTCTATATATTTATTAGGAGCAGGTTTTTCAATCTGAAGGTCAGATTCCATTGCAGCAATTACTGCTACCACAAAAATGTGGTCTGACAAAAGAGATTCACAACCTTCACCAGTGGTTCACCTATTCAGCAAGATTTAATACCACCAGCTAGGTTCCACTGTGACAAATGAATAAGACAGATCCTTATAGTTCTCTGTCATGGGATTTGACCTTTCCCAGAATTGGGCATAAAGAATGATTTCAATGAAAAGAATTATAATGAACTCTCACTGGCTTTTCCCAGTATAAAGGGTTCATAAGAAAGAGAATTAACATGTCGTTATCTTTCAGCTGATTTTCAGCTATATCATTTTATGGTTCATAGTATTCTAGAATATTCTCTCCTTCCAACTTTTATGGGCAGAAGCCTTGGGAAATAATTTGCCTGATTTGGGCACTGACACTGTAAAAAGTAAGATGTTATTTTAAATATGTAAAATTGATTTCAAAAATCTGTGGCTTATACTTAAGAGTATACCTGTGGTTTACATTTGTTAGTGTGTAAGTTTATGTCCACTCAAGTCTGTGTATGTATTAGGAGAATGTTTTATAATTATAGAACTGTAGTATCCAAAGCTATTGTTAGAATAATTTTTCTTATAGGAAATTTGGCATGCCTTAATGTTGACTTTAAGGACAAGAGAAGTCTTTCACAGGTCATGAATGAAGAATTTAGAATCAACCTCAGAATGAGATGCCATAATTACATAGGTCTCTTTTGGCTGTTCAGCATCTCACAGATGTTTGATTTATTTTTTTAACCACGCAATTTCAGGCACATAAGAGTGTGGCCTATTTAGAAATTATTTTACCATGAATTATTATTTTATTTCAAGGAAATATGGGCAGCAGACAGGACAGTGTTTTCCTTTGCTCCAAGTTTTAGTAATTCTCCTGTGTTTCGGGAAGAAACAGCCTTATTTTCCCACTGCCATCTTCATGCTTCCTAGCCAAAGCATGTTATACATGAACACGAACAAATGTTATACAAGAAAGCAAAGATGGATTATTACTATATAGTATATTGAGAGTTTCTATTTTGCGGTTCTCATCGTGCTTTTTATTTTTCTTGCCAAATAAGAAAAATAATTTGATGTTGGTTATATGTTTTAATATGCAAAAAAGGGCAGTTATTAAGGTTATGGGCTTTTTCTTAGGGCATGTGATGTCTTATATGTTAATAGCAAGTGTGTCATATCATTTTAAAATAAAACTATTTATTAAGATGTTTCATTGTGTTTGTTTTTGTTTATTTAAATCTGAATCTGTGATGTTGATTGGGTCTTTTAAAATTATATTTGAAATTATTTGTCCACAAAAATTAAAAGTAATATTTACCCTGATTCAAATATAATATTCTTCTTGCTACCATATCATTGAACAATGTAAACCATACCTTATTATTCTACTTTCTATGAAAAAGTCAAAGCTATTTAGATTTACTCAGTATTGAACTTAGAGTGTGAATTGCATGATGTGGAAAAAAATACATGAATTGGTATTTATTGGTATTTTAAAAAGTACTTATCTAAATATCTAGAAAGCTTTTAGATGAGAAAAAAATATCAAATTAACTTATGTTCCTGCTCTTAAACTTCTCTTGATCTATTTTTGATCTCTATTTTCATTTGAAGGATGCATAATTTATATTAAGTGAAATTTTATCCTTATTATGGTTGAGAACTATAAAGGGACAATCTGAAGTGAGGCCCCATATATTGCTATCTATCTATCTATCTATCTATCTATCTATCTATCTATCTATATCTACATATCTATTATACAGTTTTTGCTCAAAGACCTTTTTTTTGGTTAACCACCTCTGATCATTTAGAATGAACTATATAAAGCTGCTACAATTCCATAGTCTCTTGCTACATGACTCTTACAAGTCAGCAGGGAGGCTGTTAGAGACCCAGTCTGATGTAGCTACCTTTTCAATTGTTGCTTATTGTCAAGCTGGAAGGAAAAAGAGAGTCTGAAAGGTCTGGAACAGGCATTGCACCTCCTGGCAACTTGCTAGCCAGGACTGGTTCCATAGTTCCAGTCAAGCCAGGAAATGCAGTTCCATCATGTGACCGGAAATGGGGAGAGTTAGGTCTAGAGCGTTTAACAGATGAGACTAATAACCACCACAATTTCTAATGTCTTTGTGTTGTTAAAGTACATTGTATCAACGAATATAAAAATTCCTACATTCTCTGATGACCACTTGATGCATTTATTTTTAATATTTTTATACTGAGGGCAAAAATAATTATACTAAAAACTCCCAGAACACACAATTTAGTAGTGCTTTTTATTTATTTATTTTTTAAAGATTTTATTTACTTATTTGACAGAGAGAGAGACAGCGAGAGAGAGAACACAAGCAGGAGGGGTGGGAGAGGGGAAGCAGGCTTCCCGCGGAGCAGGGAGCCTGATGTGGGGCTTGATCCCAGGACCCCTGGATCACACCTGAGCTGAAGGCAGACGCTCAACAACTGAACCACCCAGGTGCCCCCAGTAGTGCTTTTTAGAAAGGAAAATGATCACAATTTACCTTAAGATTACCCATATGATTTTGCTGTATTATTTTATCATAAAAAGAGATTAAAATATCAATCCCAATGCTTTCAGCTCATGAGCAAGAGGAAGCACTTTCTTAAGTCCTTACTATATGTTATGGATTTTATACCTTACTCACTAAATTCTCACAACATTCCTGCAAGAAAGTATTATCATCTGCATTTTAAAAATAAAAAAACTGGGCGCCTGGGTGGCTCAGTTGGTTAAGTGACTACCTTTGGCTCAAGTCATGATCCTGGAGTACCGGGATCGAGTCCTGCATTGGGCTCCCTGCTCAGTGGGTAGTCTGCTTCTCCCTCTGACCCTCCCCCCTCTCATGTGCTCTCTCTCTCTCAAATAAATAAATAAAATCTTAAAAAAAAATAAATAAAAATTAAAAAACTGAAGCTCAAGAATTTTTGACTAGCCAAAGTTACACAACTAGTAGTAGAGAAAAGATCAAAACCTAGGACAACTTCACTAAAAAGTCATTATTTATTCCAGATTAGAGGGAATATTACCCTTCTTGCAAAAAAAAAAAAAACTATTTATATTAGCTATTTCATTTTGTATTCATCATTTTATAAACTAAAGTAATAGTCATGGAATTTGAAAAATAAACTTTATAAGGCGTTGATACCAATATTTTGCTTTTAGATAATATAGCCATTTCTCAAAATATAAAACCAAATTAAACCTATCAAAACTCACTGCCATCCTAGTCATTGCCCCCACTGAGGTTCAGATAAGTTTATGCTGACACTTTCCTTGGAGCTGGAAAGAAAATGTAGTTATTCTTCCTACATGCATAGCAGTTCTCATAGGATTTATGTACTCTTCTGTAAGGAACTCAATGATGGAAAGAGAGTTATATTTGAGTGCTTCCTATATGTCAGACATTCTACTTAGTGTCTTGCTTAATCACCACAAATGGTATAATAAGGACTGCCTAATCAGGGAAACAAATGACTTGAAGTTTGAATGCCGGTTCCTCTCCTCTTGTCAAGTCATCTGAGACATAGTTTCTTCATTTATAAAATAGGGACAATACCGTTTGCTGTGCAGGACTCTAATGAAACTTAAATATGATAAATAAGACGAAGCCTGGGAGGGAATCCTATCTGGTGAATTGCATCATCAGATCCACCATTATCTGAAGTGGGCTGCTTTGTTACAGCAGAACCTGGGTTTTTGGGAGCTATGTTCATGGGAGCTATGTTCATGTTGATTAAGTACTGGCTGACAAACAACTGAATAGGGCCATCATCATGATAAAAAATAATCTTCTCCTTCATCTTCTCTTTCACGTTCATCTCCTCCTCCTTTTTCTTCTCTCCTTCCCTTCTTTCTCTTCTCCCCTCCTTCATCATTATCAAGCATCTATGTGGAAACTATACGTTTGGAGGTCTCTTATTTCTACCAGCAAGAAAGAAATTATATTTCCCTTCATGAGACAGAAAATCAATCTGAAAACTGTCTTGCTTAATTATAAGGTATGATGTGCTAATATCTTGTACCATAATCCTCCAGACCTTGAATAGCCATAGCTCCAATCATTAGCTCCAAGGTTATGTGGCAGAAAAGTCTGTCTTTTGACTAGAAAAGTTTTGCCATAGAAAAGTCCAACAAAATCCTTTTATTTGGTTGAAAAAAATTTTTAAACATTTTTAGTGTTAAAACTTAAAAGATCCTATTCAGTGAGCAGTCTGGCAAAAGGCTGTTCTTCACTGCCATTTATCCAGACAAGAGAGTTTGTGTGCTTATGTTGAATTTATCTTTGAATTTTAATTTTATTTATGTTGAATTTATCTTTGAATTTTATCTGTGAAAGTTGCATACCTTTATTTACTTCCTTCCATATTCTTCCTTCCTGTCCATATTCTGCCAAAGTAGCAAAATTAACTACTCTGGAATACAGATGACATGAAGAACAATTGCTAAAAATTGAACTCCTTTTGCCTGGATACTTAAATGGCATAGTCGGCACTGCCCCCTGCTGCTGAGTGGATCCGGGGCAGGGAAACCTGGGGCACCAGAGAAGGAAGAGAGCAAAGCCAGCACCTGCATTAAATCATACCTTAAACAAGTGATAAGCTCAGGGAGGAATTCTCGAGTTGCAATCAAAATTAAAGAGGATTGGGAGAGACTGATGCTAGATCCTAAACAGTAATAGATGAAACTGAGAGACACCCTGAGACAGAAAGTTTCATTAATGGCACAGCTTTATGCTGCCAAAGATCATATTAAGGGCATAGGTATTTTGGATAATCGCAAAAGATCCATCACTGAGTTGAGAAAGAGAAGCCAGAGATCAAGAAGCAAAGAAACAATGCCGGGTGGATGCTGGAAAATTTTGACTATGTTATTGGCACATGAAACTGATGGAAGACATACAGAAGCCTAAGTTTCTGAAGGAATTTCATTGCCAAAGAAGCCCTTGACTATGTGATCCTTAAAAAACAACACTTGGGCCCCCAAACTTATACTAGTAGGAAGGACACCTGAAAAATGTGTACAAGCCTCAAGAAGGACATACTCTGAAGATCCATTTTGAATATGGCCATGGAGAATAAAAGACAAAGAAGAAACTTCTGGAGGCTTGAATAGGGGCCTTGGGGAGCAGTGGACAAGTGTCTTCCAGAAAGCAGAACAGGGTATTGTTCAAGGAATCCACCCCAGCATGGAGGACTGCATAATGCCTGCCTGACAGTTTCATAATTTCTATGAATCAATGATGTGTTGCAGTTATCATGTCCCTGTTCCATCATTCTTTAGTGTATAAGAGGTATAATTTGTTTTTTTAGTTTATAGTTTTCCAGATCCCAAGGAGAGACATGCATACCTTATGAAGAAGAGTATGCACATCCTGGAGGTCTTGGATGTGGAGCTGGAGACAACATTGGGATGAATCTTTGAGTCATCCCCCTTGGGAGTTTAGTGTCCTGCGTGTAAGGAGAAGGGATAGATCATGGCAGATCCACCAATGACTATGCCTGCCCTATTTCCTTTGTGTACAGTTAATGCTAGAGAGCAATGACCCAACCAGGGACTACACAATTCCCCGTTCCCTTTTCACTTAGGTGGGGCCAAATGACTAATTTGCACCAATGGAATGTAAGCAAAGTGATGTGTGTCACTTCCTGGCTGAAGTAGTTAAGAAAGTTGCATACCTTTATTTCCTTCCTTCCTCAGAGCTGACTTTGGGCCTTACAGAGAAAAAGCCTTTTAAGCCCAAATGGAGGGAGATGAAGGTCTGTGCATATGGGCTATAATGAACAATAAACTGACCTTGAGGGAAGAGCCAAGCACTTCACTTTAAAATATAAGATGTTCATCATAATTTGGGGGAAAACCTCCAGTTCCAGTCTCTTTCTCTCCTTTGCAATGACAAATTTGTTTAATTCTCAATCAAAACACCCACTTATTTGTTATGGTAGAGAATCATTAGTATATCATATTAACAAGTGATTTACTAAATTTACTATATTGATGTCTAAAGCAGTTAATGATGAAAACTAACACTACCGAGTGCTTATGTGTCAGGCACCAGTTTTCACATTTGCTCATTTAATTCCCACAACAATCCTATGAAGTAGGTACTCTGATTACCATAATGTCATTCATGAACAAAGTTAGATTTACCATTGAAATTATTAGCTTGCCCAAAATATTAGCTTTGACACATAGTTCATAAGTGACAGTGTTGGGATTCAAACCCAGAGTTTGACTGGTTAATACCCGTGCTTAAGTTTAAAGCTAGTCAGTGGTGGAGCTGACTTCCCACCCAGGTCTGGTACAAAAATCCATGCTCTTCCTGTCTATAATAGGCTGTCATTCACTTGAACTGCCTGTCCTTCCCTCTGCCAAGGCCAAGCTCATTGATGATTACTTACATCATCATTGATCTCCCCCTTCTTTAAATGACCATAGCACTTAGTATCTGTATTCTAAAATTCACTCAGTGTAGGATGCCTTGTATTGATCACTAATTGTTTCATGCATTAGCCTTCTCTTTCCAATTAGACTTTAAACTCTGGGAAGGCAAGGAAGGACCCTCTCTTACCTCTGTAGTACCCAGATCAATATTAACTCATACCAACCACTTGATAGCTCATGACTTGCCAAAATAGGAACATGATGAATTCTCTCATTATGCCAAAAAGGAGCAGTCTGGCCCCAATACTAAAGTAGCCTCTTATCCTGGTTTCCAGGATAAGAGAAGAACCCAAAAAAGGAAAAACCCTTTAGAGGAGAGCCACGAAGTGGATTAAAGTTAGAAACCACGACACAAGGGAAAATGTAAGAGAACAATGACTTCTACTTGCAGAACCAAAGGCTAAGGCATGCCTCAGTAAAAATTCACTAGTTTTTAATAGTTGATATGCAGAAACATTCACATTCACCAGGAATCAAAACATTTAAATTAAGATATTAAACTGATATAATTTTTATTCTATCAAATTGGGAACATTTTTTCCTTTTTAAAAAGCAATGCTTAATGTTGCCCTGAAATATGCTATCTCATACATAGCTTCACAGGGGCATCAATACATTTCTTTCTGGAATACAAATTAATAGTATGTACCTAGGACCTTCAAAATATCCTTTTTGCCAGTATCTCACTTCAAGAAAACTTATCAAGGAGGGGCACCTGGTTGGCTCAGTTGATTAAGTGTCTGCCTTCTGCTCAGGTCATGATCTCGGGGTCCTGGGACGAAGCCCCATGTCTGGTTTCCTGCTCAGCAGAGTCTGCTTCCACCTCTTCTTCTGTCCCCTTCCCCCCACCAACCCCCTCGCCCACATGCACTCACTCTCTCAAATAAATAAAATCTTTTAAAAAAGAAGAAATATTCAAGAAGATGGATAAAAGTTTATTTACAAAGATATTCATAGTGCATTAGCTAAAAAGTGAAATACTGAAAACAATCTCATAGCTCAACAATAGATGGATTGCTGAGATGAGGTAAGTCCATAAGATGGATTGCTGTAAAACCACTAGACATAATTTTGGAAGATTTTTAAGGATATGGAGAAGTGCTCAAAAGTAACATTAAGTGAAGAAGTTCATGATACAGAGCCTTTTCTCAAATATAGCATCATCCCAATTATGTGCTATATATGTGATTTATATGTACATAAGAAGGAACATTAAAATGTAAATAGCTATCTCTCAAGTAAGGTTTTTAGTGATTTGTTTCTTTTGTTGTGTTTTCTGAATTTTTCCTTTTTATTTCTAAATGTGCTTTTAATTCTTAACAAGCATTTTTTAATAATACTTACTATATGCCAATATTTATTCAAGAGATTTACAACTATTGAATCCCTTGATTTAATCCTCAAAAGGACCCTATAAGGTAGGTACCATTGTTACCTCAAAGTTATTGATTATGAAGTTGAGGCACAGGGAGGTTTAAAATTTCCCCAAGGTCACATAGCTAGTAAGTTGTGGAAACAGGATTTGAGTCCATGCACCTAACTATGATTATGAAAAAGTTTTGAAACCAGAAAACAAAATAAAATAATTTTTAACTGGAGAAAATAACAAATTATGAATTAATTACCTTGACTTCCCTGGGCTAATATAAGAAGATAAGAAAGTAACATGAGGAAGTCAGTTACCCATCAGGAAGACTATTTTGATATCCAGGATTATTACATTGAAATGACTTATAAGACAAAATGTGACAACTTCTTAATAGGGCCATAAAAATGGGGTTGGTGGTCATCCAGTACAGGTAAGATCCTGCTGAGAGTAGGATTGTGTCTCTCAAGGTCCCTGCCAGGCTATGATGAAGTGATTCATGAAATAATTAACCAGGGTGACCCAGTTTGTTCCCTAATTACATTTATATTCTCATCCTTCAAAGGAGCCACATAGACAAGACTCTCCTTTCTGTAAGCATAATAATTTAATATTTTTGTCTACAGCTTAGAATGATAAACATAATCTACACACCTTCGAAGAAGAGAGAGAGGGAATTGTTATCTTTCTCCTCAGACTTGAATAAGTTGACTGACAAAAATACAGTAGAAAGAACTTGTCAGCATATTATCAGGTAAGTATAGGAATTACACCATATAAATAGCTACCATGAATAATTTATTTGGTAGCTAGATGGCATTATTTCTGCTGAACTGTACTTCATCAGTTTTCCTTCCTTTTATGAGGTTTTTATGAGTTTAGGTTTTATGTCAGAATATACATCAAGAAGTTGGTTTTATTACTGACTTCTATCCAATTATGGTAAGAAAACAGTTCAGTAGAAAAGTTATTTATTTTCTCACTATGCTAAGCCATACTGGTTTTTAAAAAAGGAATTTTTCCATTTTATAACAGTGGGCCCACTTTGTAGCTTTTTACTCACAGATTGAACTTCCTCCTCCAAGGGGAGAGTGGGTGGAAAGTAAAACTACTCTATATAATAAATAATGAGGAGCTTGTAAGTTGGGCCTAACCATCTAGGGAGAAAAGAGAAGGCCTGAGGGAGAGGGCCCAAGAAAGTCAGAGGCTTCAAAGGGGTGAAAAGTCTACCTGTTGACAAATTCCTGATTGCAAAGATGGCTGAAGGATTTTGAAGATCAGTGACGTTACAAATTTAATATTCAGATGTTCCCTGTTCCTAATTATTCTGTACCTCTCTTTAAAGGTCTTCAAACCTTTAATACAAGTCAGCCATATATAACAACTTCATATTTGTGGAGCTGTGTAGAATTTAAGGATGGGGCACAGAAGAGAAGGGCAGTCCCCTTGGCATTACCCCTCTGCTGCAGCCCATACACTGGAGGTACCAGTAGCTGTGATGGATGGTTGTTCCAGAATTCCATGATCTTAGGGAAGCAAATGAAAGTTTGAACCAGACCTAATGGCAGCAGGTAGTTGCTGGGAGTAGCAAAAAAACAGGCTGTGTACTGACTCACCTATAATTTCTCCCAAACATACTAAGAAGGTGGTCCTTGTAAAGAGTTGTGATGCGGGCAGGGGAAGGAAGTGGGGTAGATGAAGGCTGAAAGCTGTGAACACTTGTGTTATAGGAATAAATAGTGGAAATTGGAGTAGAAGACAACTAATGTCATGGTTATATAATTGAACTAGATTCTACAGATAATGGAGGAACTATGGACATTTTCTGTCAAAAATGGCATTATCAGAATTCATCTTTAGAAAGAAAACTCAGGTGATGGAGTAGAGGACAGGTGGGAAGCAATAAGAAGGAGCCAAGGAGAAATGATGAAACTAGAAAAGTGAAGAAACTTAGAGGAGGGAATAACTTAGGTGTTTCAAAGATCAAACAAATAAAATCGATGATTAATTTGAATGGGGTGGAGGCAGCGAGAGAAACTGCTTAGATAATTTGACAGTAACCAAGGTATGGAAAGCATAGGAAGAAGTACTAGGTTTGGTGGGAAAGGTAAGTTGAGTTTGGAGTATGTGGGGCACATCCAAGTGCAGATGGATAATGATCAGTGGAAATATGGGTCTGGAGTATGGAAATGAGATTGGGCTTATTTTACGATATGAAGCTATGTCAAACCAAAATTGGGACTCAGGGTCTTTCTAATTTTTAATGGTCAGTGAATTTATTTTCATGAAAAACTTTACAAACATAAGAATGTGCAAGTATATTATTAGATTTTAATTAATCATCTATAGGTAAAAGAATAATGGCACTTCAAAATGTCCATGGAAAATCTAGGATATATGGTAAGCATAATTGTAGCTCATTTATTTCAAAGATGAATTAATGATGCTAAACCAAAAGTTAACAATAAAAAGATTAATTCAAAATCAATCAGAAGGAAGAAAATATAAACTAGATATGTGATTTAGTCAATAATCCACAATAAGTTTGTTAACCTTGAGGTTTCTATTAAACAAAATAAAAAGAGAGTGAAGAATTTTGGATCATTATTATGAAGTACTTGATTAAAATAAAGTCTAGGTATTAATTTATGGAAGGAAACACACCCTGGCACAAAATTCTGAGAGGAATATATCATGTAGATCTTTACATAAAGGACAGTGAGTAACACAATGGAAAATGGTTTTACTGAAGTTACAGAAATGTTCTTCAAATGGATGCTTCCAATATATTAATATTAGTATATTACTATATTATATTACACATATTGTTATATATATTATTATATATTATTATAATGTGTCATATTAATATTATATAAATATATGTTACATAAATGTAATTAATATATCATATATAATTATATAAATAATATATATATTATACCCAATATATTAAAAGCCAGGACATATTATTAAGTCCTAAGGGAAGATACTTTTTCAGAAAACTACGACGATATAGCCTAGCTTCCCGTCTGATAATTAAGGAATGGAGCCAGAATTCTCTTGAGGACTGGATAGTTAACATGCTTCTCTGACTGGCTTTCAAATATTGGATTTTTCTAGCAAAGCTTCTAACAAGATTGCTCAATCTCTCGTCTTTTGTTCTTGAATACTCTGATGGGTGCCCACATTGTTGAGATTCTGTTTGTGTATAAGAGTAAATTTCAAATCCTTCAGGTGTCAGACTTATAGGGGAGGAGTTGAGATTCTGTTGTGAAAATTTCAGAGGGTCCTTTTTATGTTGGCCCATATGGAAGTTCTTATCCTATCTCCATGAATGGGAGCCACTAGAGAACTTGCAAAAGTCCCCCTAACTTGGAAAAATTGTTTTGAATTTGTCCAATCAGAGAATTTTCATACCATAAGGTGTGAAGAATATAATTTGGTTTGAAAACTTTGAAGATTTATGTTGATAATATATTACCTTGGCTTAAAAATA